CCCATCCAGTGTATTTTCTTGCAGTGTATTTAAGGAAGTGTAACTGCAGCTAAAGTCTTTCTAATGTGTACTATACATTTTCAAGGAGAACTTGAAGTACAAGTTTTATTTTTGGATAAGGGCCACCTTTGCATTCCAGTACTCATGCTAGTGTGTCCTATAAACTTCACTGGAATTACTCATATTAGTAATGTTCACCAATGTGAGTCAAGGTTGTGCAGTTGTTTTGATCTGTAATATTCTCAAAATAGTTTTAAAAAATGGTGCATCAGGCATGGGGGAAACTGGGCTATCTAGTATAAGCTAAAATGGAAAATGAATAAGCAGATCACAAAATGCATGAGGCTGCACAAGCAATGGAAACAAGGCATTCTTACCTAAGAGTTATCCAGGTATGGAACAAACTTCCAGAAGAAATTAGGCAAATTTGGAATCTTACCATCCATAGGAAAAACTGCAGAATTTTCCTCTTTGTAAAGGCTTTGGTGCCATAAAAATGATAGCATCTTCACCTGAAAACCTACATCCTACCCCAAGGAGAGTTGTGCCTTCAGAAAGGGAAAGATGCCATGAGCAGATGCAATGAATCCGATCTGGACTTGCCCATTCCTATCGCTTTTACATGAAAGGTTCTTGGGTGCTATGGCAGTATAAAGTATATCAGCATAAAATCTAAAATATATAAAATCTAAAATAACTTATCAATAGAGTTTTGTCTTTCAGGTCATTTTACAAATATATTTTACTATATAGTAAAGCCTAACAAGCAGGTTTGTCAGAGGATCTTCAAAAATATGTCTGTACTGTATTCTTCGTGTGCATTTTTTTTTGCATGAACAAAACAAGTAATTCCCTGTACTTGTTGAAATTTTTTTTTAGACATATACAATGGCAGCTGTAATTCTAAAGTCAGCACCATTTAGTCCAGAGGTAGTTAGCTGTGTCTGTCTGAAATCAAGTAGAGGATAGGGCATTTGTTTAAATAAGTTGTTGCCTGTGAAAGCTCATACTTTTCTGAACTATTTAGTCTCTAACGGCATTTATACATGAGCCCTGGGTGGTAGGCGGACCTCTCTAAAGCGCCCAGAGCAGCTCTAACTAAAGCACCCAGAGCATCATGTGTATCAGCATCTCCATGCTGAAAAATGGTGGCAGGGGAGCTTGCTGAACAAGCTTTAGTTAAAGCGCCCCTGCTGCCATTTTTCAACATGGGGATGCTGGTGCACATGACGCTGGAGTCTGCTGTAGTGCGGTAATTATTCCCACATTCCAGCAGACTCGATTAATCAAGTCTGCTCAGATGCGCTGTGTTTACAGCACATCAGAGCAGCCTTGATGTACATGTGTAGGAGCCCTAAAGTGTCATCATGCCCTACTTTCTGTCTCACTGTGTCCTTGATAACTCTCATATAAACAGTTCTTTTTAATAAAAAATCATTTTAGCAAATTACAGGGTCAGGTGCTGTACAGTAAAGATAAATTATGAGGTACATTTTAGAGTGAGCAAAGAATCTGTCACAGGTAAGACTTTTGTTAGGAGGTTATTTTTTCCTTTCAGCCTTTGTTTGTGTGTGATACCTGTTTATTACATGAGATAAAAGTGTATTGAAGATCCCTATTTCACATTAGACATGTCAAATAGCTTCTATCATGTGGGGGCGACTAACTTTAATTCAACAGAAGCAGCATGAATCAGAGTATAAATGGTCTTGGTGTAGACAGCTTTGTCTAAAATGCATTTTCCTTGTTATAAAAACTTTTTACCAGTTGAAGGACTATATTGATTTCTCTGTATGCTCTGTGCTGGTCTAGCAGGTGTACTATAGCTTTCTGACTGCTGGATTTGACACAGCTCTGATTTCAAAGTGTGAATTTCAAACCTGCTTTGTAGTATTTATCTAACAGCTGGCACCATTTCCAACATTCCCAGAGGAGTTCAGAAGCAGGATCTCTCTCCAGAGATTTAACATTTTGTATTTTTCATGGGTTTGAAGACCTTAAGATTGTCTGATCATGTAGTACATGTACAGATCGGATCTTTCACTTTTCTAAAAAAAAAAATTAGAGACAGGAGTTGAAAAGGCTGTCTTAAATTGTTACATATCTTTTGTGAGTAACATTCTAGGTTGATTTTATAAAATAGGCAACGTATGATGAAAATCAAGGGGGCAATATAAAGGATGTTCACTGTTTTAGTTTCATGTACAGTTTGTATTGCTCAGGGCAAGACCATGCTACAGAGGAGGTAATAAACAACTACATATGCTTTTATTCATAAATGGATAGAAAATGGTCTAATTGCTGTGCTCTGCTTTTAAAAAGCATTTTGACTAATTACACTAGGTAGAGGGCATTCTAGTGGTTCAGGAGTTCAAAGCCATTGAGATATAGAGGTGCCTGGAGCATGACTTTATTATGATATATGACATTATATTGACTTATTAGCCTCTCCTCTTGTAAGGTTTTTTTTTTTAAACAGCTCTTACTTCTCTTGTTCTCCTAACTGTTTCTTTGTTAAGCAACATTGAAACAGAGGTGCCAGATTAGTCTAATGAGAAATCACAATCTGTCTTTTAATATAAAATATATGTTTAAAAACATTTAGATAGGAAGAGGATAGGAGTGGTGTCAGCCTTTTATTAATATGGAAAAATGAGTTAATTAGGAACAAAGAAATCCACTGAAATATTGCTTTGTATAAAGTTGATTTCAGACACAGCTCTTCCATTTCCTGAAACTGCCAGAGTCCATTTTAGTTTGTTTAGCCATTAGTCAAGGCAGCTGAAGTAGTTGGGTAATATGTTACATATATGCAATTTAAGTTGCATGCTGTATTCATTAAGGTGCTGAAGCAGATAGGTGTAAAGACAACTACTGTCTCCATAGTAACAGAACAAACACAGCACAGATGGTAACTGTACAGTCTCTTCCTTATGGCTCAGCCACTGTGCGTCTACCCTGACATGGATATAAGATTAATTCAGTGTCTCTACATGGCCCATTAAATCCTTGACCCTTCGGCTCAAAATCCCAGTCAAGTTTCTAATTAGTGCCAGTTTTGGTACTGGTTTCTTCAGTCTGAGAGTCTGGGAACTGAGACCACTAAGCTCATTTCATATAGACCATTAAACTGTCATTTGATGATAATGACTTTCACTTAACACTGACCAGCATTGGATTGGAGCCAGTAGCCTAAAGGGAAAGCACTGTATCCCATTATCAGTCCTTTAAATCATACACTTACCTGCACAAAATAGTTTAACATTTGGAACAAGGAAAGCATATAAATGAGTAGTTGAGAAAAATGGAAGTGGCTGTAGGTTCATATTAATAAACTGATGAAAATTGTATAGTTAAATGTCAAGTTTACATTATTGTAGAATAGGAGTAGAAAAAGACCTTTTAAAAAAAATCAAAAAAACAAAATGAGGATAATGAATCCAATTCTGTGCTTCCTATATGACTAAAACTATCATTGGAAGGGGAGTATAAATCAGAATGTAAAGAAAGTAAATAAAAATTGAAATACTTTAAATCAAACTATAGCACATATGCATTAAGCAAAGCACACTTTAATCAGTTTTGAAAGAAGAAAACAACTGGAAATGGCTAGTGTCTTTGAAAGCCTCAAGAAAAAATTAAACAAAATAAAAACTAAAATAAGAACTGTGCAAATTCAAACATAAGGATGTTAAATATTTGCTGTTTTTAATAAAGATAAGATTTTTAAACATACAGAATTTGAAACAAGAAAAAACAAAACTTTTTCAGAGCAAACATAAGTAGGAAAGGAGACTGGTGTACCCCCTTTTATTTGGATGAAATATAAATCTTTCACCTTCCCCTCATGCTACATTCTTTCCACTTTCTCCTCTCAAATGTATAGTTGCCCATTTCTGTTCTCCTCATCTCGCTTTCTAAATGTGTTTTTTATGACCCTTCAATTGATCACATACATGAATGGAAAAACGTGAATTGTATCCCCTTCCCTCCCCCCTCCTTTCCTGTCTGTTGTATTTAAATCACTCTTTCTATTTGATAGCTTGCTTTCTCCAGCCAGGTCCAGACGTGCAGGGACCTTTGGTTCCCTGGGGACAACTAGTGGTGGTGCACCTTATACCACCACTGTTTGTCCCCGGGGAATACCTGTGCCATGCCTGCTTTGGCGTGTAGCAGGTTACCCTGGGTGGGGTAAGGGAGGCTGGCCCCAGCAACGTTACTTGAGGTCCTGGGGGTCTCCTGGGGTTGCAGGAGTGGTGATCTTGCTGCACAGAGCCTGGCTGGCAGCGGAGCACAGCTCCTGCTGGCCAAGCTCCGGCTTTGGGCTGTGCCTGCTGCTGCTGCTGCTCCCCCCCCCCCCCCCCCCGGGGTT